CATACTTCTGCGTAAAAAGTTCTACACGTCGTGACTGATACGTCGTGGTGACTGACAGAATACCAGTTCCCAGACTAGTGATAAAGTTGTCCGAGTTATGGTAATTCTCATCACTGAGAGGTTTGAGTCGCCGAGGTCTGTTTCATAGGTAAATCATTTGTGCAAGTTCGGAGGAGTATTTATGGCTATAAAGTCATATCCTTACCTAGCTACTATTAAAGAGTGACATTAGACTTGGTATGTTAATCTGCACCTATTAGGTTAGCGGATCCCTGTTATGATAGTAATTTCATCCAAGTTTTACGCTTCTTAATGAATCAGCTCTTGGCCGCCTTCACAAACTTCAAAAATCATCGCTTATTTAGAAGTTTGGTGAAGATAACTTCAAGTAAGGTTACGGCTGACCAGCAACTGCTAATAGTTGCTCTTAAGTATGCACAAACAGAGCCCGCTCTAAGATATTGTTTATGGTTCCTTAAACTGAGATTTTTAGTCGGCATATTGTCATCTGTTTTTTTTTCACATTTTTTGTGCAATGACTTGCTCAGAACCATAACTTGCGGTTTCTTTTGTTGTAGGTTTCACGAAATCAAACAGTCTGGATGACGATTGTAACCTCTTCCAATCCGATTCACTCGAAAAGGCTTTAAGGTGTCTGTGAAAGAAAGTTCTGCTAACTTAAAAATAGATCCTTCTTGGCGGTGGATGTGAAAGCCTCTTTTGTCGATTTTCCCGAAAACTTCTCACTTCTCTGGTTGGTTAATCCGTTTCTGATTAAGTAATTTCCTCCAAGGTCTATTATAACACGACTTAACTCCCTTAAACAGGACTCCTGTAAGATCGAAATGCTGTTTGATCGTTTTCCGATAGCTACCCGTGCCAGCATAAACGGTCTTCTTCTCTCTGTTTATGCATCGCTCAAGTCAGTTTTGTTCATTTTCCCCATACAGACTTGTTAGATTCTTGAAGCCAGAATCAGTCCCTCTATTTTTTCAGCGGTTTTTCTGTCTGCTCAAATCCCTTGATATTATGCACAATGCATCCGCAAAGTTACCACTGGTATGTGTTTTTACACTATTCTTTGTATAAACCACTTTAGAACGCTAGACGCCTCGTAACGCACTGCATGTTGGATGTCTGGGCTATGTTCCTCAAAACTGTGGAATTTTTACCAACAGGTCAGGAGCTTGATTTTATTCACGTCTCTAACCGTTTGGACAGTATATTTGAATATCTATTGAAGTGTTTTTTTGCCAGAAAGCTAAGTATGGTCAGTAACCGATCTCGCGTACTTATCAGCGAAATTCCGAAGAGCTTTTTTTGAGTATATAAGATTACTACCTAATTGAGGTTACAATATCACCCATCGGTGACATAATCCCATAATAGCTCAGACACACCGGGGTACCTGGCTTTTGAGTGCACTTCCTTTCGGACGCCTCAAAGAACCACAATCAGCGGTGAAAAATTCTGCTTAAATGAACTTGTAAGTGCACATGCAGCAAATCCCCTGTCTCATAAAACATCAATCAAAATTCTGAAATTTACTTGAAATTTTACTCGTTGGTTAGGATATTACGCCTTATTCAAGTTTTATACTTCAAAAAGTGTATTTTTCGGTTTTGAAAAGTTTCTAATTATGATATTCTTTACAAACGTGAAATATTTATTTAGAGTACATCGTATCCGTCAATTTAGTAATGTTGCCTATAATGTTTACAACAGGATCCATATCCATTGCAAAGGTCTATTTGAGCACTGTGACTTCTTTCTCATGCTCTATAGAAATATATGCTTTTCATTAGACAAAATTTATAAAGCGCCTGGTTTGGAAAGCTTTAACTTAAGTACACGCGTATTAGTCGCGCGTTCACTGTGGTCAGCCTGAGCCTTTTTTACTCAGCGGGTGGATCATGACTATAAGTGACTGTCATGTGAAGATTGGTCTGCGTTCTAACGCTGTCTCCTCCCTCATCCCAGCTGAGAAGACATACATTTTGTTTGAACAGTCTATCACTCTTTCGTAAACCTGCCTGTTCCGACCTCAACAGATTTCCGAAAGTATCTTGGCGAGGCTTTTGAAGTCGAACCTGAGAGCGCCGACCCTCTCGAATATGTTACTGGAGTCGTATTTGATCGCTTGATATGCACCCAGTGCCCAGTATCGTCGTCTTCTGAACAGCCCGCAATGTCTTGCGCGTGCTCGAGCATCTTATGGATGCTACTTATCCGTCACGGTGAAAAGGTGCGTTTTGTGCTAGTTATTGTTTTTTCATCCTCAGACGTTTAAAGCCTCACTGTCATTTGTCAGAGTCGGACGTAGCCGTCTATTGTGCTGTGCATGATTTTGTGCTGGTCCATGTGACTATTACTATTACCGCTGTTTCTCCCACGCAATCACTATGATTACTACAATACGCAGTGTCGCTGCCGCTCTTAGTTTATTCGTCTTTTTCGGCGTTGGCCATCTTCATCATGCTGTTGGTGAATTTTGAAGGATGAGCTTTATGCTTCTGCTATTGTGGCGTTTTGTAGATTGTAAAGGTGTCCACTTAGAGCATCTTAACTAAAACGGTGTATTGACAGTGGTGAAATGT